GGGGGGGGGGGGGGTCCCCCTCGCTACCTGGAGGCCGCGGAGGAGCCTGGCCGGAGTCCCCCAGGAGGAAGCGGAGCCCCTTCAGCTTCACCTCCCTGGATGTGCCCCCGCCCGCCCCGCCTTGCCTGGGGGAGACCCCGGAGGGGGGAAAGCCGCAGCCCAAACAGGGACCCCCGACCTCCGCAAGACTGGACGCGGGGGAACAGGCAGACATGCAGCACTGCGCAGGCGCCCCCCGGCTCTTTACAGAAAGGAGGACGCCGATTGGCAGAAAGGCTGCTCGGGGCGGTTCCTCCATTGGCACAGGCGGAGCTTCCGGGGAAAAGGGCGCTGCCGGAATCGGAGATAGAAGAGCCCGGATGATGCAGGTTTGGCGCAGGGGGTGCTGGGAGTTGCAGTCCGGGGTGGTTTTTTCATGAGAAGGGAGCCCTGGGAGTCCGAGGCCTAGATTGGCGGGGGCGGGGGCGACGCTTGGAGGGAGGCCGGGTCCGCCTCAAACAAGCCCGGAAGGCCCGTGAGAGGCGGAGGCCTGGGCCTCCCATGCGGGGAAGGGGACGCAGCCGTGACCCGCCTCTCTTTCCCCCCCTCAGGAGGATGGGGGAGCCGCACAGGAGGAGGAGAAGGAGAGCGGCTCCCGCGGAGCAGCCCTGCCCGGCCCAGTCGCGGGTTCCCCGGGAGACGGCGGGGAAAGGCCTCGAGGCCCCTGGGCTGCAGGTCGGATGAGCCCAGGGAGACCCAGGCAAAGGCGGCTGCCCGGAGGCCGATGCAAGGAGAAGGACACGAGCGAAGACCCCGAAACGGGCCTGGAAGGCGGAGGGTCCGTTAGAAGACCCGGGAGGCCCCGAAGGACCCAGGAGGAAGGAAAGAGATTTCAGTGCCCGGAATGCGAAAAATCTTTCACAACAAATGGAAATCTTAAAGTGCATCTAAACATCCACTCAAGAGATCAATCATTTAAATGCCTGGAGTGTGGAAAAAGCTTCAATTATAGGAGCAACCTTTCTACACATCAAATAATCCACACTGGAGAAAAGCCTCATAAATGCCTGGAGTGTGGAAAGAGCTTCTCTCTGAAGCATCACCTTTATAAGCATCAAAAGACCCACTCAGGAGAGAAACCTTATAAGTGCTTGGACTGCGGAAAGAGTTTCAGTGAGAGAAGCAACC